CCCTCTAGCGGCTGTCAATGTGAAACATGTGAAATGAAATAGTTTAATACATAAGTCGCACCCGAGTATAAGTCGCAAACCAAGTCAAAGGATGACAAAAAATATTGCACATATTGTTCTGTGTAAAAAGAAAAAGAAAAACAAGATAAGAAACTCAACAAACTCAACTTTTTTTTTTCTTGACATATCTTGATTATTCATGATTGGGGTCATTTATTTTCCTCAAGTTTTCCCTGGAAACTCCAGCGTCTGGAGTTGTTGTAGCATCTTTCTCCTAACAGGTCCAAACAGACCAGTGTCTGTGCCTGTGGCAATGCTCTCTGCTGACTGCAGCTGCTCGTCTGTAAATGTCAAAACACTGCAGAGACATACACTGACGAGAAGCGTTACTGACAGGACTGCAGCCCCCCTGACGTTACATCTGCCAGAAGATATGGGAAGAGTGTGTGAGTGTGTGTGTGTGTGTACAACGAGGTGACAGGAGGCAGATGTGAACGTCAAAAAACGTCAAAAAAAATCACGTTTCTCATCAAAACACTTGCATTTCCCCTTCATTTAAAAAAACTGGAATAGATATATTTAGTTTTTTGGTTTTTTTCCATCTGAAATCCTTGTTTAAAGTGATGTTATTAAAATAATTTCAAGATCAATAATAATAATAAATACTATTTTCACATAATCTGTTATAAATAAATTGTAATATTTAATATTTGTAAAAAGTGTTTAACTGTATTTCTTATGATCGAACGGTAGAAAGAGCAGAACTCTGCAAAGGAAAATTGTGAATCCAGGATTTTTTTATTTTTTTATTTTTTTTTTTACATTTTTGAATTTTACAAATGAATGATTCTTGCAATGATTCTTCCATACAAAATGTACACAAGTTAAAACGATTAACTTGTACAATTAACATTTTATATGGAAGAATCGTTGCACGAGTGCAGGCTACTAAAAATGCGAAAGGCGAAGAAATCTTACAAAGACAAAATACTGTACATCACGGCTGGGAACCAATGCACTTTGGGACTGTCAATAAGTTAAATTTAGCACAGCAGTTTCAAATAGTCTTCCAAAGAAGGTGATCTTTTGACTTTAGTCAGTTATGTTTACTACCCTACTGCCTACTACCCACATTAAATATATATATATATGTGCAGTATTTTTGTTCTTATTCGAGGTTAACTTAAATTGTATTTAATGTTAATGTTTGGCTGAAATCAGTTATCAATATTTTTCATGTCAAAATGTAAACTTTTTACGGACTCTAAACCACAACCCTACGTGTCTGCTATTTCAGTCTTGAGTTTGAGTAAAGTCAGACTTCCACTTCTTATCTCACAACAAACACACACACACACATACACATACACAGCCTGGGAACATGCTTTCCTGTGCCCTGACTGTGTGTGTGTGTGTGTGTTTGTCCTATAGTGTTCCTGTTTGTGCAGATTTTAAACACTTTGGCACAAATGTTTCTCCGGCATTTTCCATACTAAAGGGGCCGTAAAAACAAACATTGAGTCCATTGTTTTTTTTTCTTCGTGAATTCTGATTATTACTCTGATCCTATTTGAACAGAATAATAGTAAAAAAAAAAAAAATCAGTGATGATCAAATTATAATTTGAAGGACAGCTTTAAATCTGTTTGCGTCCACTGAAGCTGAAGCTGCTACTGTCGGTGAAACAGCAACTCAGTGACATCCTGTGTAGCCTGGATTGATGAATGGAAACCCACTG